GCGCCGCCTGTCATTTGTTGACCGCCGATTGCGGGCGGGCGCGGAGGAGGTGGGCGGGGCGGGGCAGGCGCACGGCAGCGCGCGGGAGGGAGGCGCGGCGTCTTACATGGGTGGCCGGCCGCGGAAGTACGCGGGCCGGCGCGAGGCGCAGGACGAGGCGTGGGGCGCGCGGGCGGAGTCCGTGTACGGAGGGTCGGACTCGGGGGCGGATTGGTGGTCGCAGGACGAAGAGAGCGGCGGCGGGAGGCACTCCGCGGGGAGCTACTAGTGGGACGATGGTGGGTTGTGGTGAAGAGAGAACGACATCTGCACTGACATCTGCGAAATGCTGGCGACAAGAGTCTAACCTTCGAAGCCCATACTTTCCAGGTGGGACAGGCTTCGTTCCAAATTTCTCACGTCCACGCTCAGCAAAGTTGCTGTGAACTGCACTGTGGAACGTCTTGCCTGTTTGGTCTGTGCCAAGAATACTGTCGTTGCTGACATGGACAAATGCTTTGGCCAAGCAGGCATTTTCCTCTGCATCCCAGTGCTTCCCTTTTCCCATTGCAAAAAGCTTCCACTTTGTAACTACTACAGCAAAGAAGCTGCCCGATGTTCTCCGCTTTCGTAAACAAGAACCTTGGGCTTCGGGGGTTCTGGATGTGTTTCGGCAAGTTCGCGCCAATTTGAACCAATGGGCAAGTGCCATGTCGCTGTTCTATTGCTTGTGAATAAACCAGATTTTGGTCTATAGCGTGATTCTATTGACCAGAAATTGGTTTATTGTAACGAATAAACCAGACAATACAATTGACCAAATGCGGTGGGGTTCGATTTTTTGGTCATTGATGAAAGCCAAAAAATAAAACGTGCAATAGACCTGCGGTGGAGATGGTCTTAGTTGTGTTATACAGGCTTTGTTGTGTTTGTGTTGGCAGTGTGCTTTGTCCCCAAATACATGTACACGTACAGAGAGGACTCGCCCAATAGTGCCGAATTGAGTAATTCCACGAGTGAGTAATGCAGGGGTTTTTCGGTTAACACAGGTTATCATACCTTGCATTGCTGTTGGACACCTGTCCAAGACGGGGACGCGGCCGACGAAGATGCCCAACAGTAAACGGATCATCCTTTCCAACAGACGCCACAGATCCTCTCCGTCTTACTCCAGTGACACGCAAGGGCACCGACACAACCACAACACAGCATGAAAAGACGAGTGCAGATGGAACCAAAGGGATAGAATCAAATGAGTGCGTTATTCCAGGTTTTGAGGAAGTACTTGCCTGCTTTACGGGAGTGGAGGAAATGGTGAACATTTCGGGTATAGAGGATGCAGTTCGTCATTTGCACCGTGCAAAGCGCGCGTAGCTAACTGCACACGCTGAGCAAAGTCGTTCCGAGAGGCGCCAGACGCTTGTAGACGAGTATTTTGTGTGACCCCATTCATTAGTGCAAGATGCGAGTATTGCATGTTGTTGGAACCTTGCATGGGGGTGCACTACTCGGTGTGGTTGACTGTTAACATTTGTGCCGACATGGTGCTGGTGGCCAGCAATGATAGGAACTGGGGAGGATGGTGCACAAGTCGATCAGCATTAAGTTGGGCATCTGCCTTCTATCTTTACTTTGCTTCTACTCGCTTGATTTAAGTACCCGTTTTCGGTCGCCGAACCAGCCTCCCTCATGCCTGAAGGTGGCTGGTTTCTTCCTTCGCTCACGCGCCTTTTCGCTTCTCGCTGATGTCGCGTTTGCTGTAGTCTGACTGCCATTGTCAGCTCATCGACTCCCCCTTCTCGCCCCTTCGCGTTTCCACATCGCCGTGCCTACGTTCGCCCTTGCAAGGGCTCCGGTAGGCCCTATTGCATTGCTTCCGCTGCGTCCTTCCCGTATGCTGTGATGCTTGCTTTGCTGATGGTCGGCAACTGCCGTCACCTACCATGCTCGAATTCGTCCGATTGTCCCGGATGCCATCGTGCTCATCCGCCGATGAGCACGGTTATGCGTGCGTCCCTCTGCATGTCTACGGACGTTGAGTTGACCTACGAAGGGTCGCAGGAAAGGTTGTAATGAGTCGTGAGATTGAAGATGCAGAGCATGTTGACCTCTATCGAATTAGAGGAGTGTTTACCATGACATCGGCTCACTGGTCCAATATAAAATCACAACTGTACAGTATTTGAGCCTCTTTTATATAGTGCCATCCCCCCAATAGTGCCATAGCTAGAAGTATGTCACGCTATAGCACTATATCGTAAGAGGCACTGTGTGTAGAATAATACTTATTCTCTAATTACCAACTGTCAATACATTCCTACCTTGCCAAGTCATCCAGACTACACGTGCCACTCTGAGGGCATGAACTGTAATTCAGAAAAGCGACACTGTACTGTACAGGTCCTCATCGTCTATTGAGAGCCGCCTACCACACGAAGAGACAAACATGTGGCAACGTGGCATCGTTGTACATTTGTTGGCTTTGTGGAAGTCGATGTGAAAGCAACCCATTCTCGCAGTTGCTTCCCAAATAAACGGGTCACCCTAATTAGCATTTTCTGTACTGTAGGACACCACCAACCATGGACATCAGCCGTTGGAGTGTACCCTTGAAGGGTACACCTTTGCTTCCAGAGCACAGGACCACTCGAGAGCCTACCACTGTACACCAGCAGCATCCCCCTAAAAAAGCAGTGTACAGTATGCTCTGCTACGGAAAATGGCCGTGAAACATTTGCTTCGCTGTTAATGTATGGCTCTGACTCACCGGATTTGCAGCCATCCATCTACAATCGAACAACCACAGTTGCAACCATCAGATCAACCATGAGTTGCGACATTTCTTCCATTCCGAATTCGCAATGGTACCGAACGATGTCAGCGGAGGAGCAGGTGTGTGTATGCGCCGAATAGCGTTTTCGTTTTGTAGGAAACCGAGCCAGGTTTAGATGAAGTCAGGTGCATCGAAAAAAAACAATTTCTTCTGCTCCAGATAGTTGGCACAGCTTACCTGCATCTATCGTTCGTTTCCTGTACTATTTCCATGTTATCCGGCCCCGGACGTGTTTGCAGAGACATCGGCGTGATTCTTTAGATAGCGGCAAAACCACCGGAGTATTCTAATTTGATCACGCGGTGTGGTTCGCAACGGTGCTTGTCTGCCAAGGGTGAGCAGCAAGGGGAGAGCGCCAATACCTGTACATCCCCCATCTCTTAGAGCCATTTCTTCAGTATGGCGAGGTACAGTAGCAGCTTCACGGCGCGTGAAGGGAGTGGACGATGCAATGACGTCATTGGCCCGACGGCGAATCGGTTAAGCAAAATTACAGTTTCGGTAAAGTCACCTGCCGACCTCGCCTGGCCTCTGCACCTCATTATCACAGTACTTCTACCCTCGCCACCACTTGAGTGATTATTGGCCAGAGAGGGACCGGAAAAGACAAGGGTCATGTGCCAAGCTTGCACATGCAATGTCCGAAGGACCCTTTTAGTTTTTGCGCTCACTTACCGCCGCCCACTGCATGTATTTCAACATGCCGGCCACGCCATCATGCATCTATTCTGCACGGCGCAGCTATCACTCTGGAACCGTGACATTCCGTGGAATATCCATCCAATAACTCTCTCCATCTTTGTTACGCCGTGTACGTGCTCAACCGCCATGCCCCTCTTTCATCTCACTGTTCTCTTGAGACTCAAGACCATTCCATTTCTTCTCAGTAGGTTCGTGCATCTATAAATTCTTCTCGATTCACCGATACAGTGTACACTTCCGATTCACTCCATACCCTCATACTCCCTTTTATATCGGCATTTATAAATAAAGGCGTTCTCAGAACTTCAAGACTCTTCGCCCCTTTTGTCCTTACACAGTCAAAAGTCACAACGTTGGCCCATTGTTTGTCTCACGACCCAATGCCCCCCACCTTTGAGAATAGAAATTTACCCTTTTTTCGTTGCACGTACCCCCCTTCGCATCTTATGGATCTGTGTCTCCGCCATCTCTTGACGAGGGCTCCTTCAGTCTCAACAATTTGCAGGCCACGAATATTGATGGTAATATAGCGGTTGGGCCGTGTTGATTTATCTCGTTTCAAGGTATTGAAGACTGTACGATACAAATATTGCGAGAAGTATTTATCTAAACAGGCGTTGCCTCGTATGCACAATAGTGCTCTACAATTTCTATAATCGATCACAGGTCTGCTTAATTACAGATGAAAGGGCCTTTCCCAGTCCACCACAGTGTAATACTGTACTCTTCACACACCCCTAGTCTTTGTTGTTTGTTGCCCGTCTATAGCTATGTCGAGCTCATGGAATCCTCCATCTTCCATTGACAAATTTTCTGTTTGACAACATTTTCACCCTGAGGTGTCACACCACACAATGTATCTAAACAGCGTGCTTTGGGCACGTATTTGCCAGAACCACAAACTCGTATCGAATGAATAAATCGTGGTTAGTAGCAAGGAAACTGGGCAGGTTTTCTTGAAGGATATCAATCTTCACAGATGTCGTATCGTCCTACATGATATATTGTTGCTCTTAGTCTCAACCAGTGATTCGAAGAACATCTTAAGGCACGAAACAAGGAGAATTATATTCTGAGCTGCACTCCTAGTCCTGTACTAGGGATATATGTTTGAAGATCCTCATTCCCCTTCCCTTAAGGATTTTCTTGAAGGTGATCGGCCAGCACATTGTTGATACTCAATCACGTTCTCCGATTATTCATGCTTCTGGATTTTGGGATTTTATTTACAAATGAAAATATGGAGAGGTAGTGTGGACTATTTTCTCGGTGGTTTAGAAGTAACATCAGAAGTCGCTACACTTTCTGCATGTTTCCAGCGTGATTACCTTGGAAAAGAAGGCATGATGACCACTTCAAAATAAAAAACCTAGAGGAATAAAAACTTTAACTTTCTAAAACTCAAGAAGATAGCTATTGTCATCACATGATCATTGCATTCGCAAGAACAAGTAACTTAGCAGTGCCTCGCAGGGGAATGGAGTTGAACTCACATACTCATATGTGTAAGATAAACAGACTTCCTTTCATTATCCTCTTCGAGAAAGACGACTTGACGGGCGTTCACGCCACAGAATTCCGCATTTACGAAAATATCCGTCTTCGGTGCCATAAGAAAACGTCAATGACAGTCGCGGGCAGCATTCACTTCACATTTGCGCAAAAGTCTCAACATCACAATCAGAATGCAGTAGAGCCAACAGAAGTCCCAAATTCATGAAGCTAACAAGGTCTGCCCCCTCCCCTTTCATGCGCAGTCTACCATGTTCTTCGACTGCATCCATTCCTTTCTTCAAGATTTCTGGTCAGCTTTTTCTAATATCTTAAGTCTGGTGAGCTGTTGCGTGCTTCTGTACACGTTTGAATACGACGAGAGTTTGTCCGTCTAGTGAGAAGGGTACTGCACGCTAGTGCTTCGGGGCCTGTGCCGGTTCTGGTGGTGTCGCTTCAAGGCTGCCCTTCTCGAAAATCCGCTTCCGCAGATATCGCACTGATATGGAAGCACTTCATGAACTAACTGCATATGACGAAACAAGTTCGGTTTTTGGTGGAAAGAGATACCACATATTGGGCATGATGGTCCAGTACTCTGCATGGTAAAGGAGAAATCAGTTGTTTTGTGTTAGTATACCTTGCCTGGAACCCAGCGATGAGTATATGTTGATGGAATATTACATACCCGACGATGGAGGTTATCAACATGGCGTTCCTTGTGATGTTTTCTCCCAAACTTCATTTGGCAGTACTCACATTGATAGACAGAGGGTTGAATCTTTTTGACGCCAGCGGCAGAAGCTTGTGTCCACATCGGTGATGGCGGCGCAGGAGCATTTCGCCTGTTGACATTGGTCCCGGACATGTTGACTGGACTTCTTGATGATCGATTTCTAGAATCTCCGGTAGGGTGAGGTTGCGTTTGACTCTGCCTCTGTCTTTCGGCAATTCTCGGGGTGGCACTGGACCGCCTCTCTCCAGCAGATGGTTTGTTCGAGCGTGAAGACTTTGACACTGGTGTCGTAGAGGGAGCAGCACCTGCGTGCTCTGGTTCGAGAAGTGGGAGACGAATCTCTCGACTGTCTCGATCGGTGGAACGATAGTCACGACCAGAAAGGAACCGCTCAAAAGTTGATGTATGCAGTTCTTGATTCATGATGATAGTCGGAAGCGGTACTCAGAAATGGTGCTGATAGGGCGGTGAAGCTTCTTATCCTCCGGAAGTTTTGAGAGTCCCGACAAATAGGTCTAGCCATGGAAACAAAATCTGCTGTCGATGTCACATGACATGTAGAGTAGTAACGGGGAAAAAAATAAGAGAAGCACGAGCAGGTCAGGAGAGCGCCGATGTTGAAAATTGAGACGTATGAAAACATTCAACAGTGCATATGGTATTCACGGGGGGTTGAAAATGAAATTGGGGTAAAGAACCTCCCATTGCTGATTTTATGAACCCATGGGCTCAACGCTGGCGCGTCCACACAAGGTGTACTATGTAGTGCAGTACTCGCTGCCGTTCGGGCTGCTGAACAGTTGCATGGCTACAGCCTCGCCGTACGGACCTATCAAACGACGTTTGTGAACTGGTCAGGCTTGGGGTGTTTTGAGACTACTCAAGCAGTGGTTCTGCTGAAGCGTACAGCACACATCAGTAGACTAGGAACGGGGCAACCTGCTGCCCCAAAAGTAAGCTGCTCGTGTACCCTTCATGTGCAGAAATATCTCGCATGTGGTATATTCGAGCGATGTATATGTCCGTTACCTCCATTTGAGACAAACGAGGCATAACTTCAATAGGACTGCAGTAATTTACCCCAATGCGACAACAGATTTTTGAGGAAAGTTCTCGAACCCTCCGTGACAGCGAGGTTGCTCTATCCTTTCTCGAATCCACTTATTCTTCTTCCGCGCACATATACTGTAGCATGACACGCTGGAACGATATGGGACGCAGCCCATATACGAATGTGGTACAGGGTGTTAGAGTAGCTGCTGTAGTTGGTTTTTGATTCGCACAGGGACGACGGGGGGACGAGTGTCTTGCCTGACGAAAGCTCTTTAAAATCGATTCGAATCAGAAATAGAGCAGATTTTTTTTCACAATTTTGATTGAGTGCAACAAAACAACGACTTTGTATAAAGGGACGAAGAAGAAGGTCGTCGCGAGGGAGGTCAGAATATTCGCAACCGGGATTATAATTTTATGATCATCGCCACTGTGGCAAGACCGAGACAATTTTCCCTGGATTGACTACACGGTTGATAAGAAGTTGGTACGATGAATCTCCTTTTAAAACCCCAACTAAAGTACTTCAGTTGTCCCCCAGACGTAAAGAGGCGCTATGATAATAATCCTCGCGACTGCTGTCGTCAGTGCGCCTCGTCAACGTGAGTCCCTGAAAAGCTTACCAAAACGTCGCATTCCTTTTTTAACTACATCGGATTTTGGTATCGCGACAAGGGGAACATCAATCGACATTGCGGCTAGCAAAATAGCCTGATTGATCGCCAAACCTTCTCGGTACAACAAGTTCTTCAAACCCACTATACTACCATGACAAACTCCAAGAATATCCGCACACATGCGTCGAATACAGCAAAATACCCTCAAAAGACAGACACTTCCACGCAGGTACGTGACAATTCGAAAGTCTCATTCTGGGGTGCTATCCAGCATAAAGTGAAGTGCTATACAGGCAAAGAGACACAGAAACATCAAGAGCACATTTTCCTTCCATGGACACGTCTTCCGACGTGGCTGCTATAATATTATTATATTATGAAGGTCGTTAATCATAAATTCGCTTCTTTTCATAGTGTAAGACTCGTCGATGCTTTACACTTGCATGAAGATCCCGTCAATTTCCTCCTTTTTATGGGCGGATGAGAAGTGGACCACAGTAGGTTTTCAATGAGTATCATCTATGGGAATCACTGCTATCCCATGAGAAACTGTGGCAAAAGGGAGTGCCCTCCGGCCAGGAGACAATGTGGAGAGGGATGTGCACGGTATATGTAGTAGCGATATCCAACAGAAATGAAGGCCCAGTGCTTCTTCAAACAGCAGCGTGGGGCAGAAGGTGAGAGCGGAGCTATGCTGTTTTCATCGGGTTCTATTTTCGACATCGAGAAGATTTTTTTTCCACACTATCGAGGTTTCGTATACTATAGAGGGCAAGGAAGAAACGTGCACCGAAGATTAACAGGACGATGCCTCAGTTTCCTGTGCTGCTCTGACCTATTTTTGAAAGAATCACTGACGTCCGAAAGAGACCTCATCTGCCAGACCAGAAACATAATTTAAACAGTAGGGACAGTCGAACACTTTAGTATTTCTATTTCGTGCTTCCATTGAAAATTGGCATTCGACGCATCGCTCCTCGTGGCCGTTCCGACTGTATCGAGAATGGGTCTGCGTCACCAAAATTGATTGTCACTGCACATTTTGGATCAAAATCCATCGCATGGAAATTACAGTCTTTCATTCTGTTTCTTATTAGTGCAACAAACGAGAAAAGATCGTCGATGCTTCTTGAGCGAAGGCCACCACACACACAAGATGCGTATACTCAAAATTTTCATATTGACTCACGGGTCCATCCCGTTTTTCGAATTTTTTCCACAACACTACGAACTGATAAGGTACAGATATATAGTTCATACACTACAAACTCCTTTCCTAGCTTCCTGACACTACAAGCATTCCGAAACTCCTACGATTGCACGGAGGGTCTCGACCGGCGCCTGAAAACTTAAATACAGTATTGATAAACTCTGCTGGACCGCGAGACAGGAGCACATCACTGAAATACTTAACTTTTTAAAACTATTTAGACTCGAAAGGGCCGTGATTTTCAAAGAGCATCTCCCCATACCGATTTCATAGCAGTGCTCACTTGTATTGAAATGTCTGGCGTTGCTTTCGCACGCGGCGGAGACAACAGAGTCTTCTTCATCGCTTTCGTGAGCCCTTCACTTCGCGACAATGGAAGAGTCTCACTTCAGCAGATGAAAAGTAATTCTAAAATCCGCCCTCACATAGTACTGTATTACAGTAATGTAGAACAGTAATGTAGAACCTCGATGTGTATATTTTTTGGTCACGCGAGGAATTACACGATACCGAAAACCGGCTTCTGTGCCTCTTATTCGAACAATTGGATGCAACTCTCACCATGCCTCTCTACACCTCACACGGACCGGGGAGTGCACGGGTTCGAATGTAGGATTTCAAACATGTAGAATGGGGCCTTCTTTTTGCCAGAACAGTCTATGTCTATGTCATGAGTTTGTATTCTCCAGAACTATTGTGGAATGTTCGACGGAGTGCGAATGCCCATGCTTCCCTCCAAGTTTGCACAGCGATGAAGCATTTGTTAGAAGTTTCTAGGCGAACAATCTTGCGCAGTCCGGTAAAAGGGACACATTGCTATGTCCATCGATGTGTATTCGTTCTGTATTTCATAGGAGACATTGTGAAGATTTCCATGCCAGACAGTGGATGTTATCATAAAAATGTTTTCTGTCAAGACTCTTCGTTCCATTTTGCTTTCTCCTTGTCAGGGGACATCAGTGATGCTTCGTATCATGAAACTAACGCAACTTGTGGTTGTCATTCTCATGTCGCTGTAGGCGCATGCACTAGTTTTGCACGCCGTAATAATAAAAAAATAGCAAATTGCATCTAACAGGAACTTCCGAAACGCGCAGCTTCTGTCAAGGTTTCGCCATTTTGATCTAGGAGTTGTTTCTTGCCAAATCGTGAGACCATGCAGGACAGCGCTTCGCATCGTGTTGGGGACAGCCACTAATAAGCAGACACCAAATGAATGTGTAATTTCTGCCAAAAGAAATGTAAAAAAGAAATACAAAAAATAGTGGTGTGTTGATCCATGATTTAGCCGTTCTAGCTAGCTGGAGGTGCGAGCGTGTCCTGAGAATTGTTCCCCCCGCCCCGCCCTCCCCCCCCCCCCCCCCCCCCTTTTAACCCCCCCCTTTTTTAA